AAGACAAAAGTTTTTCACCTCTGGGCCAATTGGCAGACCATGATGGATGGAGAAAAGATTGAGGTTGTTAACAGTTACAGCTTGCTTGGCTCTTCAATCAACACTCTTGGCATCAGTAGTCAGGAAATCAGAAAGGAAACTGCATTAGGTAAATCTGCGGTCAGAGACCTTTTTAGAGTACTGAGAAACTACGATGTCAGTCTAGAGACTAAGGTGTGCCTGATGTAGTCCATAGTCTTCGTAATTACTTGCTATGTATCAGAGAGCTAGATAATGACAGATAATGACTAAGGAGAAGAACTGATGTCTTTGAGTTGTGGTGCTGGAGAAGACTCTTGAACATATCATGGATCACCAAGAAAACAAATAGGTCTGTCTTTGAGAGGGTGAAACCAAGTTTCTCCTTGGAGGCTACGATTTTGAAGTTCTGTTTCACATACTTTGGGTATGTGGACAGGAGGAAGCAATCCTTGGAGAAAGATATCATGCTAGGGAAGGGTAAAGGGACAGTGCAGGAGAGGAAGACCCCAGATGAGATGGATTGATACAGTAATTAGGGCAATGCGAGTAGGTGTATCAACATCAGTGAGACTGGCTCAGGAAAGGGCAGGCTTCAGAGCTATTGTACATAGGTTCACTATGAGTTGCAGGCAACTTGATGGCATATAACAACAATAACATGTAGACAGGTGGGAATATGCAAACGGGGTATTTTAGCCTATCAAAAGGGGATAGGCCAGTCTTAACAAACTACAAGGGGACTGGCTAGTCTCGCTAATAAATTAAACAGCTCTAGCTGCAGAGACAGATTTTCTGGTACCACTACCCAAAAAGCAAGAAAATGTAAGATACTGTTCTTGCTCCAGCTACACCTATGGGCAGTAACACCTATGGCCGAACTGGAAACCTGACGTGAGGTGGGAGAGCCAGTATTAGCAGGATTGAGAACTTTGTTGGACAACTGTGGGTGGGAAGCGAATACTGGCAGGACTGAAAACTTGGGATCACTGGCCTGCAGCCAAGATGCTTGAGGCTGAGGTGTCTGCATGCACATTTCAGGAGCTGTCTTGACTGTATTGTTATTAATCTGGACTATAATCTTTTGACTTCCTCAAAATGGTTCTGTGTGATCTGTGAGCTATTGCTTTGGGTTTTAGACCCAGCAAACAGTATGACTGGTGTTGAGAGGAGTAGAAAGAGGTATGGGAGCATGGGGAACATGTCTGATTTCATGGGAATTGGTATGATGCTGTGGATGGGAGAAGTTCCCCTTTGTGAAGTTGATAAAGGTCAGACATGGCCATTTCTACATGGTCCTTGCTCTTTTTACAACCTTCTAGGCAAAATGCCAATGGTTTGGATTCACCAGAGGCTGTGGAGAAGGAAGATAGGCAGTCTTTTATAAAGAGTTACAGACTCAGAAATCCAATAAAAGGTTATCATGACTCAGAACTGATCCCATGGAATTAACTTTTGGTTTACATACTCTTTGACCATTTCACAGATTATCTGTTAGAAACTATGTGTTAGGCAGACTCTAAAACAGCCCAATAACTTTCATTGCCTAGTATTTACACCCTTGTGTCATCCTTGAGTGTCAATGGAATTTGCTTTCGCAAATAGAATGTTTCAGAGATGATAACACTTCTAAGATTAGGTTACAAGAAGACTGTGGTTTCCATCTTGAGTAACCTCATCCAGGCTCTCATTCTGTGGAAAGCCAGATACCATGCTATGAGATGTCCCATAGGTGGCTACCTGTCAACAAATCATGATCCTCTGAAAGTCCTTGAACTAGAGGCACATAGTTAAGCCAAGCCACAACTCCGATTTGCACAAACTGTGAGATCATATTGTTTTAAGCTGTTCAATGTGAGGATAATCTACTATGTAGGAAAAGAAAGCTCTGTAGGCGAGTTACTTCAAGTCTGCTAGAGAGATCCGAAATCTACCTCAGTTCTATTTCACTTTTGGCTAGATTCCCAGAGTAAACATACCAATAATAATAGCCTTATCTACTGACTATCATTTTCTTCTTGATCCTTTGATACTAATAATTACAATTTATTCTTCTCCTAGTTGTTTGAAACTTCTTAAGGATAATTGTATTATTTAATAAAATGCTCTAAACCTGATCAAAAGTTATTTGTGCTAAAAAAAAAAGTCATTTGTGCTATGTACCTGTGCCAAGATAAGTGATATGGAAACAACAGAAAGGTCCTTACCTTTTTGGAGATAAAATATTCTCTTCCATGTGGAAATCACGATTCATAATAATCTTGTGAGCAATGTTCCGCTTGGAAACTTTCTCCAATAGATCTATGACAGAAAATATTTATGAATATGAGTATTTATAATTACCAAGGACAGCAGTTAACAAGAGAAACAGGAATTCACAAGTCTAAATTTCTGCTTTATTCAGCCAAATATCATATAATTGCCATCAGGTTGGAACCTACTCATAGCTGACCCTTCATCAGGTTTTCTGAGGCTGTACAACACACAAGAAGAAACTTCCCATCTTTCTACAGAGGAGTTGTTGGTAAATTCCAATAATTAGAGAGGCAACCTTTGGGTTGAAAGTACAACTCCCTCCACACCACTTCACCAGAGTTTCCATTCAACCAAACTGTTGCTGCAGGTGCCGTTCAGTCGATTATGACTCATAGTGACGCTATGAACAACAACTCTGAATCTCACTTTAGCCTCCACCGATCTACACCACCATACTCAAGTCCAGTATTGTAGTAACTGTTAATCCAACTCAGGAAGGTTTTCCTCTCTCTTGCTGATCATCTGTCCTTCCCAACATGATGTCTTTTTCCAAGGATTGGCCAATCTTGATAATTTGCTCAAAGCATGAGAGACAAAGTTTCACTATCCTTGCTTCTAAGGAATATCCTGTTTGCATTTCCTCTAAGACAGACTTTTTTGTTCTTTTGGTAGGCCATAAGATATTCTGTACTCTTCATCTATACTACAGTTCAAAGGCATCGATTCTTCTTCAGTCTTCCTTATTCATTGTCCAATTTTCACAGATGCACAGAAAGCAAGTGAAAACACTATGACTTATATCAGGTGCACCTTAGTCTTTAAACAGACATCCTTTTTTTTTTT